TAACACAGGAAGAGTATGTTGAAATAATTAATCATTCCATAGGGAAGAGGCAAATGGCAACAAGGTTGTTGTTGTTTTAAGATTACTGTGAAAATGAATTATTGATTTAATTATATTGAACTTTCACCAAAAGACTGTTCATATTATTAAGCTGAAAAGATTTTATACCCTTACTCTATTTCTACCATACTCTACATATAATTTTCAGATTTCTATGTTAAAAGCTTAGTAATACCTTTTCCCCTCTTCTCTGAGTTTGTATATCAACAATTTCCCCTTCTAGCTGCTTAGTTATGCTCTTAGTTATGCTCTCATTCTTTATCTGATCTTGAAAAGGGAACTGTGTATTCTTGCCTGCTTTTCAGCTGCCAGCAATTAATTGTAAGAGAGGGTATTTATAAAAATGCCTCCTAAGAAGGAGTTGAAGGAATTAAAACATGACTTGGAGGAGCCCAGTGCCAAACTCCTTACGGAAGCATTTGAGAAAAAGATTTTTATGTTCCATGATATATTACAAGACATGAATGAAAAATCTGATTAAAAGTTTTAACGATTAGTAATTATCATTAAAACAAACTAATGCTGTTAAAATATACAGATTGAATTAGATAAGACAGACACAAGGTTAGATCTTCTTACCTCAAATGTATTGTTATTGGATTGGAAACAGAAGGAAATATTTCTGCAGCTTGGGGCATCTCTCAGTAAATTCACAATTTAAATATGTAATTGTAACCAAAATGATTAAATGGTTTAATAATGAGAAAGTAGACTTCTCTAAAAAAAAATAGACAAAATTTACAGCATATGCCACAAGACAATTGTCAAGAGAAGTTATGATTCAATTTATAAGAAAATCTATTAAACAGCAAGTAATTCAGAAACATTATCATCATTACCATGGTGGTGCAGTGGTTAGAATGAAGTACTGCAGCTAATTCTGCTGACTGCCAGCTGCCTGCAATTTGGCAGTTCAAATATCACCAGGCTCCATCTTTCCGAGGTCAATAAAATGAGGACTCAGATTGTTGGGGCAATCTGCTGACTCTGTAAACCTCAGGGTTTATAGCCACAGGGCTGCAAAGCACTGTGAAGCAGTATATTAGTGCTATTGCTGTTGCTATCAAAGATTTAACATTTCTGGAAAAGAGGTGCAAATATTCAGAAAAATCACAATTACAATATAAAGGAAACATAAAGAATATTTCTTCCTGAAAGATCTCCTAAAACAAAATAATACTCCCTTTCACTGTGATAAGCTGGAAGAGATATATTTACCTTCAGAAATCAACAGTATAGACTAAATTCAGTCCTTAAAACACAATATTTTTTAGAAAAATATGGATCAGAATTACATTATTTTTTAAAAGATATAGATCAACTACCACAAGAATTAAGTCTGAAAGAAAAAGATAAAAAGAGGTCTGAAGCTATCAAGGACAGGCTTTAAAGATGGCAGCCATAGCTGGAATCCCTAGAACTTCATCTTCATTACAGACGGATTGCAAGATTCAGACATGGAATATTAATGGGGCAAATTCCTCACAAACAAGAAAAAAGTATTTCATTATTTGAAACAAGTGAACTATTGATGTAATATGTTTGAAAGAAATTCATATCAAAGAGACTGACAGGGAATAAAATCTATTATGGTGAGATTATACATCCCATACCAAAAAAAAAGAAAAGCCAAATTTTAATTTTTTGTCCAAATACTTATTCTCTTACTCTTTTCAGTTCTGGTGTGGAATTAGAGGCTACAATGTAACCCCACAACTGGACAAATCAGCTGATAATGGAATTAAAGAAACACAAGGGAACTGCCTCATACTTTTTTCAAGCTGGCTGATATTTAAGGTTTGATTGCTGTTTAGAGGTGTAAAAATGGACTAACAAAAGAGTGTCTTTTCAGGGACACACAAATCCTTTTCTAGCATTAATATGATTTGGGCTACAAAAAAATCTACTTCACAAAACAACTAAAGTTATTATTCTTTTGAAAGCTTTTGTTCTGACCCAGTTCCTCAAATGCTACAAATTCTCTGAAGTTAACTCAAAGATTCCTTTATTAGGCATGCTGGCAGCCCTGGCAAAAAGTTTATCTCTCACCGCAGGCTGAGTTCAGAAGATGAATAGTTGTCTGCCACATCTATTCATCTTTGTCTCCTGCCTTTTATCCCCAGAACTAGGATGAGGCTTCGCTAGCAGCAGTGGCTCTTCCTTGCCAAGGATTGGCCCACAGATTTCCACTGCTCTTTTCTTCCTTCTGCACATCTGTGTATCAGGCACTAGACCCAGGTGTTCCTCCTCTTCCTCATCAGCCACATCCAGACCTGGGGGCTATTGACTCTCTATTTTGAGGGCTGGTGGATGGCCCAGGCTCCACCCCTCTATCTATCTATCTATCTATCTATCTATCTATCTATCTATCTATCTATCTATCTATCTATCTATCTATCTCTATCTGCCAGCTCCACTCCCTCTTCCCCCTTGGAGCTCTCAGGTTGCCTTGATGCTGACCCTGACTCCCATGCCTTTGAAATGGAGATTAAATGAGTCTGTTTTGCACAAGCAACAGATTGTTAAAGAATGTGAATAGCACTTCAATACTACTTAAATAGTAAGTTGGGTAAGGGAACCAATTTGACATCAGTTTTTAAGACTGTGGTACAAAGACGTTTTTTGCAATATAATATAATAATTAAGAGGAAGATGGATGAAAAAAATGCAAAATATGCTACAAGAAATTGAAGGAGAGAGAACGCCAGAATTCACCAGAAGATTCTAACACACTTAATCAACTAAAATTAACAAATCTGTTGAAAATAGACAGAAAAGATGATAAGCTTCAAGACAGGAGTAAGATTTACATGGATAATAAAAACATTCCAAATATTCTTTTCACATTATTAATATAAAAGAAATATCTATCAAGTAAAAATCTTCCTAAACCATCAGAAAACTACAAGCAAATTTTGAACAGTCCAATAACAACCTTTGAAATAATAGAATCAATGAAAAGAAAAAAGCCCTGGGACCAGATAGCTTACTAAGTGGATTTTACAACATTTTTGTAGATCAACTACTTCTTCCAATAAAAAATTTTAATGAATTCTATTCTAGAAGTGAATTCTATGCTAGACTCTTGGAAGGATGCCTACTTTTCTTTAATACCTAAAGATGGACTGGATTTAACTTCTGTGAAGAATTATAGGCTAATTTCCCTCCTTAATAGTTATTACAAACTCTTCACTTCTATTTCAGTTGAAAGACTTTAAAACATTTTACAGGATTATATACATGAAGTCCAGTGTTTTTTCTTACCTAAAAGACAACTAAAAGATAATGTAAGAGTAACTTTAAATATAACTGAATATGTTCCATAACACAGTACAAACAGATTGCATTAATCTTTCTGGATGTATCCTCCCAGTCTTCCAAATTATACAAGCCCAGCATACATCCTCATCCAATTGTATTATTGCCAGAGACTCAACATACAACACAGCCAAGGAACTTACAAAAAAGCTTGGATATCTCACAGAATGGAGTGAATGTTCTATCAATTCAACATTATGGTGCTGCCACAAAATCAAAGACCTAAAAATAGAAGAAGCTGAAATTCATTAACTCCTGCTTCACTACCTACTTAATGGACAAATACAGCAACAAACCAGAACACTCATGGAATGACTACTCTCGTGACTCATAGTAGTCTCAATAGCAGAGACTAATGCAGTGTCTAGAAACTACAGCCCTCCCATACATACAACCAAAAGTATGGATCTGGTATGCAGATGACACCTTTGTTATAATGAAAAGGGTACAATTAGAAAAGACACAATCAATTTCATCCTCAATATTATTATGTTAATAATATTAACACGGGAAAAAGAAAGCAACATATTACTTTTCCTGGATATCCTCAGCAGAGGAACTGACAGCAAATAGGAAGTGTAAATCTATCAAAAAACAATCTATTCTACACTAACCAAGTGCTCCATTACAAAATAACAAGCCAGTCTCTCATAAGAGGAACTGTATAAGGACATTATTCATATGAGTCATTCATACTGCAGCAACCAAGAACATCAGAAAAAGAAAATAGAATCCCTATACAACATCTTCTAATAAAATAGATACCATACAACTTTATCAAAAGGTGCCTGACCACTCAACCTATTTCAGGACAATCAACACAAGCTATGAAAAGAAAAACACTATCATATATAAAAAATATCTCAAAAACAGCGAACAGACAATTACAACAATATACATCAGTATTGCACACAAAGCAAAAAAGCCAACATCTCAGAAACCATTCAATCAAATTACAACCAAATAGCATTACTGTAGTGCACAAATTAACTAAAGACCTCCAAAATATCTTAAGTAAACCAAAAGACCCAGTAGCCAAGAAGAAAAGAACCAGAGTCATCTATAATACATAGTATAAGGATAGTACAATTATTAAGTAGGACAGGCAGGCAAAAGACCAGTAGAGCACATATATTACCACCAGCCAGCAATCAGAAGATAGATGAAAACTCCATAATCTCATAACACATGGACACATTCAACCATAGTTTCAAGTAGGTAACTATGAGCATCTTAGATTAAGCTAAATCTAAGAATTCCAGGAGTTTGGCATTTAGTCAAATCAGCCATCAATAAACACATAGAAATAGCATTATAGCTGTGATGCAAGTTCTTTATATATTGTACAAAAATATTTACAATAGTTTAGGTATATGTCTAAAATGTAAATGCACAAAAAGTTTCACTTTTTTTCAAAATATATTCATTTGACCAATACACAATGAAAATAACATATTCATTCAAGGTAACTGAATTAATTAAAATCAAAGTCTCATTTGAAAACTGCTTCCAAAGATGTCCATGTACTGAAATGGAGGTGCTTCTCAGGTACTCCTTCAGATCTTACAGATTGCCTAGAAATTTTCCATTTTTTTTAAGACAGGGAAGTCCAATATTATGGATAAATGAATTGATGGATACACTATCCATTCATGTAAGCATTCATTGCATCATTTCTTCTCCCTTCATTTGAATATCACTCTGCTGTCCATCATGTATAGATTAAAGGAAAGAATTTACAATTGCCTACCTTTCCCAGTTTAGCTGCAGAAACCTAGCTAAAAGAAAAACTGTCCACATACAAACTAGTAACCTTAAGAAAATTTCATTTATTCTTTAGTGGAAACTAGATCTAGGAGCTGAGCTCCTAAATATTTCTAATGCCAGTAAAGGTAAAGATTTCCCCTGTCCAGTCATGTCTGACTTTAGGGGACAGTACTCAGCCAAGGAGACCAGCACTGTCTGAAAACATTTTCTCTGATCATGTGGCCAACATGACTATATGCCGAAGGACCTGGAACACTAGTACATTCCCACCAAACTGTTATCTATTTTCTACTTGCATTTGGATGTTTTCGAACTGCTAAGTGGGCAGGAGCTGGGACAAATAACAGGAACTCACTAGTCGCACAGCACTCAGGTCTTGAACCTGGGCTGTCAGGAGCCAAATGCAGGATATTTCTAATGAGAAAAATCTATGGAAACTGAGTCTCATACTTTTGATGGGTGAGATTTATATCTGTGGATTTTTACATGATGCATTTATCACATCCTGGAGAATCTGCAATCACTTCTCAGTACCTGGCAAATCCCAATTTTAGTACGATTTTCACTCTGAATAAATAACTCACCATGTAAAATTCCCCAGGAAAAAGTCATGTGGAAATAAGTCTCCAATATCAAGGAAGGAAGGAAGGAAGGAAGGAAGGAAGGAAGGAAGGAAGGAAGGAAGGAAGGAAGGAAGGAAGGAAGGAAGAAAACAACTGAAAACAAAATGGAAGTACTAACAATCTATTCTCATACATAAAAGCAAGCCCAAGTTTGTAATCAGATCATTATAACCAACCAAAATACCTTACTGAGTTTTCCTGCTTTCAGATGCACCTCTCACATTCAATTATTAAGGAATACCTATAAAAACAGCATATGCCAAAACACAGTTGTAAAAAACTCTGATTTTTAACATATAGTCTCTTGAATCAATATAAAAACTCCAAACTTTCTCTTTACAAAATCAGTATTTTTTAGACATTAATTTTTGTATTACGCTATCTTGGCAAATTACTATTGACTCTCAATACCATTTTCCATTCCATCCCAAATCAGCAATTTGCTATGATATCTGCACTCCCAAAAGAATAATGCATTTTCATATTTTTGGCAGCTCATATTCAATAATGGTAACATAGATTTTGTAATATTCTTTGCTCCAATGTTTGTGCTAGTGAAACAAAAGGATTTTATTCTGACATGAAAGGTTTTCCACATATTGTATTACAATTCCTCCAAGTTTACTTTATCAACTTTTTATTTGTCTAAACTTTATTAACAAGTTCATCTGCTTCAACTAATTCAACTGCCTTCAGTCCATCATCATATTTTTTCTCTTTTCATCTATAAAATGCTACAATATCTTCCTAGAGTTTTAAATTGTTTTGTGCTTGCTACCATTCTTTCCCTTTAACATGTTGTACTACATCCAAATCACAAAGAAAATAAATTAAAAAGGTCAGCAAAGGAAATTTAAATACAGGTTTTGGAAGTGAAGCACACAAAAAAGTTTCTCCTTTTGTATATGTCAAAACTTAATTTGTTCTGTGCTGCAAATCCATGACTGTTGCCCAAATTATTCTGGTTGAAACAACAGCAAAGGGTGGTAGAGTTCTGAGAAGTCTTCAGCTCAACTCATGATTCATCTCCTTACTGACCAAGGTCCTGCTGGTTTCAATAAAGAGATTATGTGGAACATTTCACAGCCTGCTCATATGATGGGGGTGGAGTGTTGCAATAAGAAGGTGGAGGGGGATAAACTTGGTTCATTTGTGGAGACTTAGGTTGGACATGGTAACTCATAGCCGTAGGATTGATCATAATTCCTTCTGGATCTGTATAATAGGCCATTCCTGGCTGCTGGACTCCTGAAAAAGAGACATAATAGAAAATATCAGAAGTTGTTAATGTTACCATGTTTAAACAAGTAATCCTGGATGATCTTCAAGCTATTCACAAGATTTTTTATATTGTATAGTTTAGAGAACATTAAATATAAAAAATACCCCATCAGGATCATATTTCTGCAAACTGAAATAAGTGGGTCTTTTTTCTTGGTAACTTAGAAATGAGACAATGTCTACCTTCTTTTTGAGCTACTAATTGATATTCATGATTGTTGCACTTGCCAAATTATATCTACAAGCCTTGTTTCTATTCATTCCTCTTTCACCATTTTTTGAATCAGTCATCCAACTTAATATTTAACAAATTATCATATATGCTGTGGCAAAGCCTAGGTAACAGAATGTGAGACAGAACCAAGTTCAGTTCATAGAATATCTGAATAAACAGAAACCAGAATACTATAGAGAAAAGGCAGTCTTTGTTTTGAAATTAAAATGGATTTCTCAAAAACTCTTCAAGAATTCATTGGACAATTATCTGACACTTATATGGTAATTTGGCTCTATCCAGAAAACATTGCTGCAATGATTCCCCTCAGAAAAAGTAAGTGTTTTCAGATAAAGTTTTTATTTTACAGTTTCATTGTAACTTTTTATTGCTATGGTCTTAGATTTTATTGGGAAAATATAATTCTCTAATAATTTCATACTCTTTGTCCTATATATTTAAGCTCTTCTTTAAAAAGGGAGTACTACAAAAGATAGGATAGATCCACCATGACTTTTGACATTCAGAGAACCTCCTCTATGAAAGCATTCACCATCCTATATGATGTGATATGATGACTCCCTTCAAATCATTGAGGGTATAAATTCACCCCTTTCCCTTCATGATTTACAGATGTTCATGTAATTCTGAATTATAATCCACAGATTTGAAATCTGTAAGTAGGTAACATAACTGGGACTGGTATTTCTGGTGGCTTATTCTTCAGCAGTGGAAAGATATAGCTTCTATCACAGTAATGCAACAATTTGTGCTTGAATTTGAAGTATATAGTACATATAGTATATACTTAAAAAATCATTTCTTGTTCAAGGTATGGCCTCTTCAATTATATTTTTGTTTAGTACATGCTTACTACAATAACTACAAGGAGAAAAATAGATAAATGTGTTAAATTCCCTGTGTGTCATTGGAATCCTATGTGTGAGAGTATATTTACATTTTGAGTGGACTGGCTTGATAACTGAAGGAAACCATTTTTTATGTTTGAGTTTCTTAGAAATATTAGTGTTGTTTCTTTGATTACAAATAATAATAATTTTATTCCATGGAAAAAGCAATTTAAAACAGTTGTGCTTTTATCTTCTTTTTTATTAAAGAGCCATCCCAACCTGGCACACCATGTTAAGTCTGGTGTTTGAAATTGAAATTTCAATTTGAAAATTCCAGAACAATTTAGTTTCTTTCTTTTCTATTATTTTACCTACGGTATTTGTGGTCCCAGCAGTTCTTGCTTGCGGGCAATTTTTGCAGATATTTCAATGTAGTATTATAGCTACTTTGTCATGCTGTTGTTTATAGTTAGTCTATGTGATCTTGCAATAGCTTATTATGTGGTTTACTGTTTCTTCAGTTTCTTCATCGCATTCTGGCGATGTATTAAAAGAAATTTCTTAATAGCAAATTTCAAATAGCAAATCTGTCTGCTTTGGATGGACTCTCCTTTATTGGAGATGTGTAAGTTGAACAACTATGGTTTTAACTTGCATTGAGATAGCGTAGATGGCCTTCAAGCAGTTTTTAAAAACTTTTTACAAGTATGATCCTTTGGAGTCACATCATTCATTCATGGCACAAATTTTGCCTTGAAGTTGTACTTCTTCAACCTGCCTCTTAAGTCTTTTAAGATGTCTAACAGATTTCATAAAGTAATGCATTAGATTACCTTACGATCAAATCAGTGAGGGCCTGGCAGTAGTTACTGAAATAATTACTATATTATTGAGTTATAGATGTAAACAATGTAATCTCTAACCTGGTGTATTGGAATTAAGTGGTCGAGTGAATGACACATTATAAGTTGTTTCATCAACCAGTGGTGAAGGATACATCCGTCTTCGGATAAAGAAACCAGCTCCACAGCAAAGTAGAACTCCCATCATCAAAAGGAACCTGAGCAGAAAAAGAGAAACAGGTTAAAAAAACTTTAATTATGTACAAAATTTACTATATAATTAATTATTGATTCCAATACAAGTAATTAATCTGATGGTCAATAAATCTAAATGATTTATTGACCATCTTAATCTAGAGAAAATGTGGTGGGGGGAATTGACTATGCTTCAAGTTCCGTTTAGGCAGAGTATATAAATTTCAACTTGCTTAGCAAAAATATTTTGGTCCCTAGAGCTCTCCCAAGTTGGCCAAATATTTGAGCATTTTGGAGGTGAAAATATATTAAGAGTTTTTTCCACAAACTTTCCATGTCTCAAAGACCATCTGGGACAGAGGTGGGATTCAAATAATTTAACAACCAGTTCTCTTCCCTAATAATTTCTTCCAATAACCAGTTCACCATACTGCTCAGAAACTTAACAACCGGTTCTCCCGAAGTGGTGTGAACTGGCTGAATCCCACCACTGATCTGGGACAATGAAACTAATAATTTTTGCATGTTCACATAACAGCCATCTGGTCTAAACTTTGAGGACTGCTCAATCCCAAGTTGGTTTGAGGGAGAGGAAGACTGGGTGAAACCAGGCTCAATAGCAGTAACTGTGACACTTCCGGGTTGTAAGGCTTCGTCGACGGCAGGAATCCGCTTCTCTGCGGGTCCCTGCTGTGCTCGCCGTCAAGGTACCCCCGATCCAACTGGATTTGGGGGTTGTCGCTACCCTGAAGGGGCAGCGGAAGACAGAGGAGATCCGAGCAGGGGTCTGGGGACATCACACCCCCCCTCCCCAGCCGGCTAGACTCCTTTTTCCCGAGACGGATGAGCGGCTGTCTCGGCAGCCATGAAGGATTCTTCAACCGGACAAGTTTGTGCAGGAGGAAGACTTAGAAGGAGAAGTTTTCTTGGCTAAACCAGGACATGATGTTACTTTTAAAACACCCTGGAAACCTGACTTTGGATTGATACATTTGTTTCCAAAAGAATTTGTAACATCGGCGAAAGTGCTGAAGGAAAGCTCACTACCCCTCCCTACGGAGAAAGCAAAGGAGCACAGAAAAACCTGCTCTCTAAAGGTAAAAATAAGCTCTTTGTTATAAGTGGGAAGGGGAGGACTAAAAAAAAAAAAAAAACTTTTTTTTCTAAACTTTGCTGGAGGAGACGCCTTGAAGATTTCAAGACCATTAATTAATGGAAATACGGCTTTTAAAATATATCTGGGATTTTGCCTCTGGAGAAAAAACTGTAAAGAGAAGAAGAGGAAAAAAGTTTTGCTTGTTTGGATTGTTTGATAACTCTGACATTTGGAAATTACTTCAAGATTGAAAGCATCTGGGTTGTTGTTGTTGTTGTTTTTTTAAAAAAGAACTTATAATGGTACCACCGGTTGATGAACTGAAAATGGAATATGAAAAATTAAAAGAAAGACAACAAAGTGGCAAGGATTCTTTGGGAGCTGCCTTCCACTTTTTAGAAATGGCGGTTTCTACGTACCAGCAAACACTGGAGGAAGGAGAAGGAGAAGAAGAAGAAGAAAAGGAAGAAGCCATCTTTAATGGACTAAAAAGTTTGATTAAGAAAGAAAATGGGAAGGAAGGAAGGGAAAAGGAGAATTTAAGATTTAATAAAACAACCAAGAAAAAGAAAAATAGGATGAAAAGAAGGTACAATGTTAGAAAGCAACTGAAAATAGAATTACAACAGAGAGGGAAACTTAAAAAGGGGGAGAGGAGAGGAGGGGGCAAAAAGACCAGATTGGAGAAGAAAGGGAGGGAAAAAGAAAAAAAAAGCCACGGGTTAGGACAAGATTTTTTTTAAAAAAGTTTTTTCTTTAGAGATGAAGGATGATAGATAGCTTATAATTAAAGAAGATTCTGCAAGAGTGCATAAGATAGTATTGTAGTATTTGTATTTGGAACAGTTTATTGGAATATTTAATGAAATATTAATGTTTAATAATGAGAACTAGAATTAGAATAGAAATTATATATTTAATTATACTATAAGTTTGTTATTCTTTCATTTTAAGATTTAATATGTAGAAGGTACTAAGCAGAATCAGAATGGAAATTATGTATTATTTTAAGTTTTATTTTAGGAGAAGGCGTCATACTTCAAAAGCGATTACAGGGGAAATTTTTTGGTTAAAGGGAAGAGATACATAGATGTTTACTAAAGAACAGACAAAAGACATAAGTATAATGACTTTGAAATAAGATGAAATAAATAAAATATAATTAAGAGAGTGAAAAGATGGGAGAAGTTATATAGAAAATACAAAATGGTTAATAAGATATGAAGGGTATATAAGATGGGCATGAATTTGATTTAGGTCTGTCAAAAAAGATGTAACCTGGGGCCAAGTCACTTTTCAAAGAAGTTTTATGTTTTATGGAGAAATGTTTTATGGAGAAATGAAATTAAAGGGAGAGAAATTGGGAAAAGATATGTATAAATGATAACTAAGGAGGTTTTTTTTTTTTCTCCAATGTTTTGCTTCAAGTGTGATAATGTGGAACCATGTTTTAAAGAATAATGCTTTGTTTGTCTTGTTGAAGTTTATGGGTAGTTCTTGGAAAGGAGGTTATATATGTTTTGTTTGTCTTGAAAAATCAATAAAACTTGTTTAAAAAAAAAATAGCAGTAACTGTGAGAGGGATATTGGAGTCTTAGTGGACAACCAGCTAAATATGAGCCAGCAGTGTGCAGCAGCAGTCAAACAAGCTAATGCAATCCTAAATTGTATTAACAGAGGGATACAATCAAGGGAGGTACTAATAACACTCTATAAATCCTTAGTAAGACCACACCTAGAGTACTGAATCCAGTTTTGTTCACCACATTATAAAAAAGATGTTGAGACTCTAGAAAAAGTACAGAGAAGAGCAACCAGGATGATTAGGGGACTGGAGACTAAAACACATGAAGAACAGTTACACGAACTGGGCTTGACTAGCCTAATGAAGAGAAGGACCAGGGGAGATATGATAACAGTCTTCCAATATTTGAGGGGCTGCCACAGAGAGGAAGGGATCAAGCTATTTTCTAAAGCGCCTCTAGGCCAGACAAGGAATAATGGATGGGAATTGAACAAGGAGAAATTTAACCTGGAAATAAGGAGAAACTTTCTGACAATGAGAACTATCAACCAATGGAACATATTGCCCTCAGAAGTTGTGGGAGTGCCATCACTTGAGACTTTCAAGATTGGACTGCCATCTGTCAGAAATGGTGTAAGGTCTCCTGCTTGGGCGGGGGATTGGACTAGATGACCTACAAGGTCCCTTCCAACTCTGATTATCTGTTATCTTCTGATCTTTAGGGAGTTAAAGACTGCATCTAAAAGAAAGAAGGGATGACCAGAGGGAGACTTCATGATGTGGAAAAGGTGCCTGCCTTAATGCTATTCACTCATTCTAAGATTGTACATGCATAAAAGTAAACTCTGACTCTTGTTCCAGATTTAATCTTCTATTCTTTTTATACCCATTTACTTCACTGGATACTATGGCCCACTTAACTGAATGAAGCTTACTTATATGAAGGCAGGTATAGGTTGTAAATCATCTGTCATAGTTAAATCATCTGTCATAGTTAGTAATACAGGAATTCTTATCTGACTGATTTAGGAAACATCAGATGGGGGAGTGCTGCCTTAGGCACTTGAATTCATTTTCATAGTAAATTAGCCACAAAGGTAGGCTTCATGGATATCACATTAACTTTGCTAGTTGCTTACCAACTTACCAGAAATACCATAGTCGCTGGATCGACAGACTTCTCACGCAACATCTTGAACCACAACAATCTTCATAGGATCGACATCTGAATAAAAAAGACATTTGGGGATAGCAATGGAAAAACTTTTTAAAAACTAAGAATTTTAGGAATTCTTAGAATTAAGAATTAGCAAGAAAGCAGAACCTCAGAATGCAGGAGTTCTGTTTCTTTGCTTTAACTGTGAACCTGATTGCTAGATAACAAATTCTGGAAGATCCACAGTTTTTCTTTAAAGAAATTTACATTCAGGACTGTTATTTGTGGGATTAGCTATCCAAAATCAAAAGGCTGCTCCTTAGAAACTAATTACAGTGCTAATTTGGACTTGTCAAGAAGTCACACCTACTCATCATCAACTACCACAGGTTCAAAGATAGACAATTATTTAGCTGTTGATACAACTGATTTTTGGCTTCATTCATATTCATGGGATTATACTTTGGTACACTAGGAAAGAAGAAAACAAAACTATCTACAATTTCACATGGACATAAAATAATATATTTTCAAAACTGGATATTTATATTGATGAAGTCAAGCCACAAAATATAGATAAAGAGATCACCAGTATCTGGCCATATTTATAAAATAAAATAAAAATTTTCATAGAAAAATATGGGAAAAAACAAAATAAATTAAAATAATCCATTATTCCATTTCTTAATTAACGGCATTAAACGTCATCCAGATGTTTATACTGGATTTGGCATTTTTGTTCACCTATCAAGTCCTTATCAAGAACCTGGGATAGGCAGATGTTGCTATTTAATAACATTAGAAATAACATATTTATATGGATATAAGCTGTTCCAAGTAAAGCTGCCTTTTGCAATTATTGGTCACTTTTTTCCTGTACTCAAATTATCCCTCCATTTAGTATCAGTTTAAATGGAAAGGAAAAATACATATTCCCAAACTTCATATAGTAAGTTGTTATGTTGTTGGTTTAGCACTACAGGAATTTCACTATAAATATTCCCCGGTGGAATCTTTTTTTTAGGCTATATGCCAGTGGAGAGATCTCAAAACCACCTTATATTGGTTTTGTAATAGGAATGTTTTTCTGCTCATGATATGGACAATGAAGTCTAAGGCTAGATAAAAAGAAGCACTGCCCAAAGTATTTAATTACAATAAAAAACCCTTCAGAAACATAGATTTACTGTGAAGCAACTATATGAAGAGCTATAAACCATGTGATATTTAGATGTTGTTTTCCGCAGACATTGTATATTTTTACCACCACCACTCTGATTTTCCCAACTTGCTATATAAGACCTGTGTGGGAGGAAAGGATCTTTATTTTTTCTTCTATAGTAGGTTATGAGGATCTGGCATGTCTGTGAGTGTGGGTACATGTGTATCATTCTGTTGCCTAACTTTGCTGCAAATAGCAGCAAAAAGAAAGGAAAAGAAATGCAAATCAGTATTCAACATTATGAGCAATTTAGTCCTCAGTGGCTCCCTACATATAAGCATGCCATTTCTAAGTTTCAAAAATCCAAATAATTTCAATATGACAATTTTTTTTCTCTTTCCTTCTCTTACACACGCACACGCACACACATCTGCATGTGCATGCACACACACGCGTACACACACAAAAAGACAGATATAACAGTTTTATTTGCCAGGGAAATGAATTGTAAAATTAAATGGCTGTGCTTATAGAAAATTATGTGTGCAATGCTGGACTTTGTAGAAGTAGACTAACTAAATTAAATAACTAAAATTAGAATATTTCAAGAGTGCCTTCAATTTCAAGATAAAACAAAAATAAAAGTAAATCAGCAAAATACCGGTTCCTGCAATATTGTCTGCAAACATGGACAGATTCTTCTGATTCAATCAGAACTTAGTGATATTTACAGCAGGGTTAATTTTTCAATATGCTGAAAAATGGCAACAAGGAAAACGCGTCAAGATCAAGAGGGTGCCATTAAATTATTCTGAGGTTCAAAATAGAAATTTCTCTCTCTTTTTCCCTACTCCCCCCCCTTTTTCTCAATAACCTGCATTGGCATAAAATAAAAAATAAAATAAAAGGAAAAAGATATGCTGGATATATTGTTACCATGAATTATTTATAAAGAAAATGAAAGGAGGATCTAAACAAACAAATAAACCAATGACTATTAATTGACCAATGACCAATATTAATGCCACCTTTAAACAGGAGCAAAAAGATGATTCCTGTTTTTCCCATTCTATTAGAATATATTTATTTGTTTATTTATTATAACAAATAATATTAATAAATATATTAATATAATAATATATTATTATTTATTTAGTTATTACAAATATTATACTGCCACACTCAGAAGCTCTGGGAACAAAACCTTTTTGAAATTATAATCTTTTTTTTATTATAAGTTTTTTATTTTCATACAATCATTCCATCTTCAGTTCAACAGTGTATTGTCTGGGTACAAACATCTTTGTTAAACAATAATCAAAATTATAACATTCTTCATTACATATTAATTCTGCATCTTTAACATAGTAATATCCACCTATTAATTATATTAATTAATTATACAATATTAATGTGGTAATATTCAACGTTAGTCATCATATTAACTTATCACTTTTAACACATCATCTTTATTTTGTTTACCTATTTCTAACTTCCATTTCTATTATTTAACTATTGATAGAATAAATCTCATACCATATAATATACAGATTGCTCTTTCTCTTGTATTGACAGTGTTAATTTATTCATTTCCTCACATTCTAGTATTTTCCGAATCACATTCTCATCTGTAGGTATCTCTTCATTCTTCCAACTTTGTGCAAATACAATTCTGGCTGCAGTCAATATATGAATAACTAAATATGCACTTTCCTTACTATATTCTTCGGGTAGAATCCCCAATAGTAATATTTCTGGTTTTAAATCAATATGTTGTTTTATCATTTTTTCTAACCATGTCTGTATTTTGGTCCAATATTTTTTTTGCTTTTGAACAGGTCCATCAAATATGATAGTATGACCCAGGTATCTGGTGACACTTCTGACATTTAGCCAATTTATCTTTAAACATCCTTGCTAGATGCACCGGCATGAAATGCCATCTATAAAACATCTTGTATAAGTTTTCTTTCTATGCAGTTGACATTGTTAATTTATAATTCCTATCCCACAGTTTTTGCCATTTATCTAGTTCAATTGTGTGACCAAATTTTTTTTGAAATTATAATCTTCAATAATTTACAATCATAAAACTCAACCAAAAGCACATAATCAATTAAAACAATATTTAAATTAAACAAAAATTGCTTAAACTAAGGTTTAAGCAAAGATGAAACAATAGCCTAGCTAATTAATGCATTCAGTTCTATGCACGCCTACAAGCAACTAACATAGAATGTTCTTTAGAGGAGTGCCATTGAAAACGCTTTTCTCTTCATCCAGAGGGTAAATACAAGGAGAAAAAGAAATAAACCTAGAGAAGATCAAAAAGTACTGGCCATTTGTATGACTCATCCTCTCTTACCAGTTCCAGAGGTGCTAAACAGAACTACTTTGAAGACACAAATAAACCAGGTAGATGATTCGCATACAAATTGAGAAAGGAGAAAGAATCAAGGAAAATATTGCAATTAACAGATGACCAAGGCCAAGTTTGCTATGGTAGTAAAGAGAAGAAGGAAATCATTCAAGACTTCTATGGGAAACTATATATGCAAGAGAATATTGATGAGGAAAGAGTTAAACAGTACTTACAGAATGCTAATTTACCTCAGATACCTAAAGAGATTAAAACAATGTTAGAAAGCAATATAATGATGATGGAGTTAACTGAAGCACTCAAGAAGCAAAATAATGGAAAGGCATCAGGCCCAGATGGACTTCCAGCAGAATTTTACAAAACATTACAAGAATCGTTGAATTTTCCATTGCTAGAAGTTATGAATGAAGTTATGTTAAAGAAGGTACTTAAATCATGGTCAGAAGCCTATATTACACTTATTCCAAAAGAGGAGGCCAATCTATTACAAATTAAGAACTATAGACCTATTTCTCTACTAAATGCAGATTATAAAATCTTTGCTTCAATATTGGCAGAAAGACTTAAAAAATATCTAAATAATTTTATTCATCTTGATCAAAATGGATTTCTACCAAAGAGACAAATTAAAGATAATATGAGAGTAATCTTGGAAATATGAGAGTAATCTTGGACACCTTGGAATACTACGAGGCACATCCTGAAAAACAAATGGCTCTGATATTTCTAGATGCACAGAAGTCATTTGATAATGTGAATTGGCAATTCATGTTATTACTGTTGGAACAGATGGGCTTTGCTAGAAAATTTATTCAAGCAATAGAAGCTATATACTACAAGCAAATGGCAAAGGTAATGATAGAGGGAGAACTGGCAGACTCTATCAATATAAGAAAAGGAACAAGACAAGGGTGCCCACTATCACCTTTGTTGTTTGTGTTAACTTTGGAAGTGCTAAACAGAAATATTAGAGATGAAAAGAATATAAAAGGAATGAAATCAAAAAGGAAGAATTTAAGCTGCAAGCATTTGCAGATGATCTGGTTTTCATCTTAGAAGACCCTCTAGAAACAGCACCAAAATTGATAGAAAAGATAGAGACATATGGAAAGGTGGCTGGTTTGAAAATAAATAAAGATAAGACAAAGATCTTGACAAAGAATATGCTATTAAGACAAAAGGAAGAACTGGCAGACCTATTGAAAATTCAGGTCACAAATAAGATCAAGTACTTGGGGATATATTTGACAGCAAGATGAAGTACACTAAAGGAGAATAATTATATCAAACTTAAACAGCAGATAGCACTAGATCTGGCGAAATGGGAAAATTTACAACTGTCACTAATAGGGAGAATATCAACAATCAAGATGAATATATTACCCAGAATTTTATATTTGTTTCAAACAATTCCAATTAGGCTTGGAAAAGATTACTTTGAAGATTTAAATAAAATTGTGTTGAAATATATATGGCAAGGTAAGAAAGCGAGAATAAAGTTAAAACTTTTGCAAGATGCTAGAACCC